ATCTTTGTCAAGGCACTTGATAAGTGTCTTTGGCAGCCATTATGTCTTCATTCTTCTAGAGAAATTTTGAATAGAGAACTTGAAAGGAAGAGAGAAAAGGGTAGAGTTTGAGAGGGAGAATATCCATAGAATGGGTTTCAAGAGAGTATGGAGGGGATTTCATACGATTGCTCCAACTAGTTTGCATCATAGTACCATCAAATTCAAGGTTCGTCTTGAGGAAAGTTATGGAAAGAAGAAGATCTCTTTGGTGTCAAAGGACCCAACTACTCCGCCACACCAGGGAAGGTAGAAGTGATTTTATAAGGGCTTCTACACCTAGCTGTGGGGGCTAAAGGAGAGTCATTAAAGGTTTAGTGCAATACCTAGAATAAGAGGTTCTAGGGAATGGACGTATGTTAGGTTAGATCGACCCACTATAAATTTGGTGTGTTCTTTCTGATTTTTTTTTGTACTTTATTTTCTGCATTTATTTTTTGGATATAATAGCTTGGTTGAGAATCTGTGATTTATATTACGTTGTATTGATAATGTAATTTTAGATGTTGAAAAGATTTAAGAAGGGAATTTTCTTTTTACTGAAAGAAGGTTTTTTTAAATATATAATTCACCCCCTTTTAGTTAGTCTCGGGACTAGTTCTTTAGGGTTTAATACCCCTCGTCTGCCCGTACACGAGCACTGCCCCTGTGAGATTTGAACTCAACTCTTTGGGAAAGTCTTCAAACACCTAACCACTTCGCTGCAAAGAAAAATACATTTTAATTATTACTTTTTATATTTAAATTAGAATTATATTAAAATCAATACTCAATCTAAAAAAGAAAATAGAAATTAATAATTAATCTAAAAAAATTAAATTAATAATTAATAATTAATTTAAAAAGAAAATAAAAATTAGTAAATTTTTATAGTAATAATTAATTAAAAGAAACTACTAAAATTACTAATTAATTAAAATAAAATTTTAAAATAAATAAAAAATTAAATAATAATGTTAAAATTTTAATCATTTTAGTTAAATTAGGTGAATAGTTAATTTAAATTAGTTAATATCATTTATAATCATTTTTTGTTAAGTTATATAAATAGTTAAATTTTAGTCATTTTATTTAAATCAGTTAAAATCCATCGGAAATAAATCCATTGGAAAAGCCGCCTTAAAGGTTGTTTGCAAGTGAGTCAGAAATATTTCATCGTACGTATTCCATAAAAAAATTGCCTAAAAATTACAGGAAAATTGTTCACCAGAAATCCATCACCAAATTTTGCCAGTAATGAGTGATTTTCCTACAGTGATCACAACGTCACAGTGCTGAATTACACTTTTAAGTCTTGCAACACGCAACTTTTTTAGCGTTGCAACCAAGCAGTTGTCAAAATTAAGTGTTATGCCGACTTAGCCAAAAGATATGTCAATTCAACCATTAACCGTGCCAGATCAGCATAGTGCTACAATAGAGCTAACATTACAACATCGAGGTGCTAGTTCATTTTATACCATTACGGCGCAACCATGTTGAGTGTCGGGACGCCTAAATCCATTTCTGCACTTGTATAAATAATTTTTAATTTCTTTTGTTAGGAGAGTTCTATTATTTTAGTGGAGTCTTGTACCTTTTATTGTCTTCGTACTTAAGTTTTTTAGAACCTCACACATATATAATTTCTTCATTAAATGGCCAATCCACCAAGACTTATGTTTTTCATGATAAAATTTCTTTCTAAAAAAAAGCCAAACATTTTAACCTTGAGAAAGTTCATATTTGAGAACATCAAACCCATGTAATTCTTCATTTATGCATTGTAAATCATTGTATCTTCATAAACTTCATTTCTGAGTTTTTTCAGTTTGTCAACAATTGGAGAACTCTAAAAGTTTAGAACATAAAATTAATCTTCATTCTTAGAGATAAATTCTTCACTCTCTAAGGAAGAATGCTTTATTTTCTTTCCACCAATTATCTTAGAAGCCCATGAAGGATGAGAGCAATAAGAACACTAACCCAGGAAGGAATCTCACAAAGTTAGAGAGAAAAAGAAAACTGACAAAACTTGTCCTTTTATAACTATACAAGTACTATGATTTTTGATACGTACGAGCACCACAACACAGATCTTAGTGCTGCAACGATGGTTAGATTTTCATATAAATATGTATATAAATATATATTAAAAAAATAAATAAATGATCAAATTCATAGATATAAATTTAGTATTTTAATGTATTTTTAATAATATAAAAATTTATTAAATTAAAAATTTATTATTAAAAATGTAAAAACTTATTTTAATTAATTATTAAAATAATAAGTTATTTTAATTATTTATTAATTTTAATATTTTATTTAAATTTATTTTAAATTTTAATTTACATATTATGTTATTTATATATAAAAATGTATGGATTAGAGCAGGTTTTCATCTGCAGCAAAGCAGTTTAAAGCTAATATTATAGGCTTCGTTTGGGACGGTTTTCTTTCCACTTCTTAAAGCGGCTTCTTATTACAAAAATTTTAGTTATTGTACTAAAAAGCCACTTTAAGAAGTAGAAAGAAAGCCGTCCCAAACGAAGTCATAAACTTTATGGCACACCGAAGAGGCGGGGGAGAATTTATGTATTAAAAATTTTAAACTTGTGCAAAAGCATTTACAGCAACTCCAATGTGAAAATTTTTGCTTATATTTTTAAACTAACTAAACCGGGAATAATAAAATGAAAATAAAGATCAAACTAATGAAGCAAGAAAATTTTCTCTTTTTAATTTTATTTATAAAAAATAAAAAATGTGATTATAATTGAATTTTCTTTTTTAATATTTCAAACTATATCTCTAACTATTTTTCACTATAGTATATATATAACCAAGAAGATTATAGAAATTAAATTAAAAGTAAATAAAACTAAAATAAGAAAAATGCATATTGGATTTTTGGTAGTTCGATCACTTGATCTACATACACTCCCTGAGATGCTACTCAGGAATTTCACTACCACTCACTTGCTCCCATCAAGACGGAGAAGCCACTCTCGTTCATTGGTAACAGAGAAAACCCTGCAAACACTTATCTTCTCACAAAATTTCTTTCCTTCACATGCACGAAGACACACAAAACTCTTCGTTCCTCAAGAAGTCACTTATCCATAGCCTCCTACTAGATCCATGAAGCAAGGACCAAATCTCAACATCGAAACTTCCCTGAGCTCTTCTCCATGAGCTTTTACAAGTCTTTCCAATCACTCTCCAAAAATCCTTGGAACACCCAGCTCTCAAAGAAACTCAACATGACCAAAAAACTTCGTAGGGTTTCTTAATATAAGCTATGTATAAGAATGCTTCTCAAAGAAACCGTAAAATAGAATGTTTAATGATTTTGATGGGTTGATCGTATAGTACGTTATATGGATCAAACAATATGATTAGCATAAATCAGTTGTAAACCCTAATTTTGTCTCTATTTGATTCAACTGTACGAAAAGAAAAGTACAGTAATTTAAAATACTAGATCGTACAAAACAATGTAAATCATAGAGTATAAATTTTTATTTTTGTTAATTTATATAATTTGATTTTTTTTTATTTCGAAAATAACCATAAAATATTGTACTGTATTATTTGACAGAAATCAAATGCTTCAATTAACCTTAAAATTTTCTTATCTTTAATACATTCTCCACTCTGATATGTGTGTGCTTGATTGTTTATCCAATATAACTCTACATACAAAAGAAGATTCAATAAAAGAAAAAAGTTTAAATTTTGACACAGATTTTACTTTCTGAGTTCTTGTTAATCTTTGACGATCTTCATGTTCATAATTTTGCGTTTAATCTTGTTCTCTTTTTATTTCGTCTCTTGTGCGACAGTTTGTTACTTTTGTCTTGAAATATTAGTTTAAAAATTAAGTAACATAGTTAACTGTAATTTATGTTAATATAACTATTAATATATGTTATCATCAAAAACATAATGTACACACCACGTTCTAGAGTCCAACAACTTATTGATGCATTGACCAAACTGAATATTTTGTTTAGGGGTGTCAATTTCGGGTCACGGGTCGGGTTCGAGTTGAACCCGAAACTGATCCGACACTATTCGGGTCAACCCGAACCCGACCCATTTATGAAAACGGGTCAGTTTTCCTGACCCGAACCCGACCCGTTTCGGGTCCGGGTCAATCGGGTCCGGGTCAACCCGACACAATCCGAATGATCCGTTTCCAACAAAGAATTGCTAGTTTTCAGGTAAAAAAAGGGTCTATCTCTTCTTTTTCGGGTAAAAAATGGGTCAAAATCGGGTCAATCTCGAGTTGTCGGTCAAAATCGGGTCAATTTCAGAAAGGGTTAACCCGAACCCGACCCGATTTTTGAAACGGGTCGAAATGTTGAACCCGAACCCGACCCTTTTCGGGTTTGGGTTGACCTTAACCTGAAATTTTCGGGTCGGGTTTGAGTCGGATTTTGTTCTAATCACATGGTAGCTCCAATGCCTATTGAATTCATCACCTACCATCACTAACGACGCCAACACCCGCCATCACTTACAAGATTGATACATGTCATCAACATTATTTCCTACTCCTAACTATAGCATTTTGATTTATGCGGACTCCTGCCAGAAGACTCTTCCAACATCAACCAACTAGTGTGTTCCTTAGAGTATATCAATGCCTTTCGCAAGGAAGAGCTTTGCTTATAATTAAATACAAATACTACTGAAATTATTTTAGTTGGATCAAACCCCGTGATTTTTCTACTTAAAATTTTTGATATCTCTTATAATTCATTCACTCCTCTCTTATATTGCCAGACATGAAAAGCTAGAATATTAAACTCTTTATTTTTTTTATCACAACAAGTGTTCCAGCACAAAACAATTCTAATTCTACACCTTTTTTTGTGTTTACATGGATGCGCATCACGTTATCCAACAGAATGAATAATCTTGAACGCTTGATTCTACAATTTGTAATTAAAAAAATGAATGACAGGAATCAGTTTCGTGTAAAAATCTTGCAATGTCATAAAATAAAAATTATTTAGGTGTGACAAGTCGCATGCTAGCAGTATAACAATTAGAACAGAATTACCTTAGTAATTTCAAACAGGGAAATAAATGATCTTACCTCCTACAATACACGACTGACAGATGACTGTAGCACCAATGGTCCATGGAAACAACATATCAACCAAGTTCATCAAAGTTTTGAAAAATTTTTACTAGCTGGGCTTTGCGGGCTGTGTAACATTGCCTTCGTTCTGTAAAGCACACCGTGAACTTCCTCAAAATAAGGATCAGTTGCATTCTTCACATTCTCAACCCATCGCAATATCTTCGGATGAGGTCCAAGTATTCTCTCACGATCTTTGTCGTACCAAAGCTAATGTAAGAGTGAAAATTGTGAAATAGAGAGATGAGGTGTCAATAGCAAAGGATCTTCATACTAGCTTTTAATTTTCACAAATAACAAAAATCTGTGTTCTAAAAAATACAATTGCAGCATGGATATACACACGTGAAAGGAACTAATACGCTTTAACTTTAAAGTTGAAGTATTCGATGTATCGATTCCATTAAAATGCAACACATTGAAAGGTAAAATATAACATTGCTAAGGCTTTATTTGGGATGATTTTTTATGGCTTATTAAAGCAGCTTTTTAGTAAAAAATTAAAATTTTTGTACTAGAAAGCAGAGCATTAAGAAGCAGTAAGAAAGCCGTCCTAAATGAAAGGCATCGTTTACGACGGCTTTCTTACTGCTTATTAAATCAATTTTTTTAGTACATAAATTAAAAATTTTAACTAAAAAACTGCTTCAGAAGCAATAAGAAAGCCGTCCTAAACAAAGTCTAAGGCTTCATTTGGGACAACTTTCTCATTACTTTCTAAAATGAATTTTTAGTACAAAAATTCTAATTCAAAAATTTTTTTTACTAAAACTCTGCTTTAAAAAACATTAAGAAAGCTATCCCAAATGAATCCTAAGTCAAATATAACATCCCGGATATTCAGAGAAATTTTGATAACCATCTTTCAATGGGAATAATTAATACAACTAAAATTTCCATAAACGTATAAAGAAAATGTGATTTTGTATTTTCATTTGAGCCGCGGCTCTGCATGTCATTTTATAAAAGCTCTATCATTCTGTTTTCTCATTTTGATAATAAAATACAGTTTGTGGTAATTAAATTATTTAAAACGGTCTTATGGTAGTTCTGTAAATAAAAAAGTTTCTTACCAAGGTATGCTCTTCAAATAATGTATTGATGTTGGGGATTTTATGCACTTTTAGAAAGCATAAAAGGTAGTTTTAAACTTCAAAACTCTTCTCTCTCTTATCATTTTTTTAAATTTCTTCAACTCATTAAGCCAATTTTATTATTGCTGCAAGCATGGGCGAAATGGTTGAAGCAATTTTGAGTTGGATGTGATTACTGAGGGATTAGAAAGTCTTTGCCATTGAGGCTTCTATGAGCTACGTGTACTACATTGGTTGCTTGAGGAGTTGATAAGGGAAATGATAAACTACGGCATGGACATGCAATGTAGTAGTTGGTTGACTGTTGCATGGGAACTCACAACGTATATAAATATAAAAGTAATGAAAGAAGTAAAACATTAAATCAGGCTTGTAAAGATAAATAACAAGACAAGTATTTCAGCCACAGGAGAATGTGATAAGGCCAAGTGAGGGGAAAGTGAGCTTAACTCTGCACGCATCTATGCAGGGACAATTATAACCGGTATACACCTAACCTCATCCGTATAATACCACCATCACCCATGTAATACCGGACACTAGCTACTTGGGAACTGTGGGGTATCAATGGGATTGATAAGGTGCACGAATAAGAGTTCTGGGGCATTCCCACAATCTTGACCTTATTTATTTTTTGGAGACTAGAATCCAAGCATCCAAAAATAACGATCATGGATTTATCAAAACCTTAAGAGCTTCAATAATAAAGTTAATTTTCATATACAATAGTGGCAGAATTTGAATCAGAGGAGACAACTACATGTCTATTTTACCCCTGTTCTCATTCACCAACAATTGATTCATGGTAGAGTGACCTGTGGTGGCTCTCACTCCTTTCTCCTTACTATGATATATGCAACAAACTCTAATGGTGATAGGAAAAGTATAAGGCATGCCATCGACAACATTGTTGGATCTCTTTGAGATTAGTAGATCATTACGGGGGATTTCAACTACAACATATTCAAATCTAACAAAGTGGATGGAAACCTTATCCCTTTAAACAAGCTTCTTAATGCACCATCATGAACTCAGGGTTTTATGGCACTCCATTCATTATTCACTCCTACACACTGCCACATCTTATTTTGACCCCCTATGGTCAATCTAGAGTATAACAAAAAGGATGAATATGAATAGACCTATCTCTTACTAGCACTCATCCTGAAACACTTCTATTAGGACCAAGTGAGTAGGAAATAGTCAATCCAAATTCTCCCAAAATCTTAAGTTTTTCAAAACTTAAGACTAGAATCAATATTTCATAATTGGAAGCAAATTCAAACATATTTAAACACATCAAATAAAATACAGAGCTTACTAAACATCAAAGAATATTTATATACCCAAAAGTGCCTACACAACTTCTACTCTTAGCTCTATATACACCCAAAATGTATGTACGAAAAAGGGCGGTCAACTAATAGAAAGTGGATGCAAACTTTGTGAAATTCCTTGGTTGAACTTACAATTTCAGCAAAAAAGAAATCAATAACAAGTAAACGAAGAAGAATAACACTCAAGAATCCTTTTTATTGGATTATATATAAAAGAAAAGACAAGATACAGTTGAATCTTCAATTGGAGAGGAAGATCTGGCTCTCCAAAATCTCTAGACGTTGTTAGAGCTCAAAGCATCCTAAAACACTACAATTTAAGCAAAAAAGCCCTCCCCTAACCCTAGTAAAATATTTTACTTAAAGAAAATAATAAACAACAAATACCCAAACAGCTTTCCCCCAATTCCCTCCTAAATCTACCATATTTCCTTAATTATTCCCCCTCCAAATCAACCCCCCTCAATTAGGCAACATCTCTTAATTAATGTCCTCCAAATCAGCCCTCAAATTTGCTCTCTTGAATTAGAAAATATTTCCTAATTAATCCCCTCTAAATCCGCCCCAAAATAGGTTATCTTCAATTAGGAAACATCTCCTAATTAATTCTAGTTGACTAAAAACCTTCCTAGATTATAAAATTTCTTAATTCCCTCTCAATCAAATCTACTGGTCCATTAATACTACCCTCTCAAAGTGCCATCTTGTCCTCAAGGTGGAATGAATGAAACTACTACTGAAGCACTTGACTAATAGCACTGAATTGAAAAATGGACTGACACTTGGTCGAATGATCCCTGCCCCTGCCTTAAGCATCTCCTTGATTAATCTCTTAATCTGTTCGTTCTGGATTTAGGGATGATGGTATAAATGAACAATGATGGGTGGGACTCCTTCCTTCAAGATGATAACATGCTTGAGTTTTTGCGAGTGATTCAACCCTTGAACTTGCTGGAACACCCCTCGATACTATTGTAGGGAAGGTAGAATCATGTTTGGTGCTTCTTTCTTCTCCCCATCTTTTTCTCCTTCCAATTATGCAGCTCCACTAAAAGTCTCAGTCCTTTACCCTTTCCTCTCTTTGGAAGTGGCTCCAAAGATGGCATCTTCTCTTCTTCCCCCAATATTTCGACCTCATGATCTTTCCCTCTCCTTACCGGATTAGGGTTCCCTCCCCTCCCTTGGTCATTGGTGGCTCCCCCTGCCTCCGACGACACCATTTGGTTTGAAACTCGAGCATCTTTCTCATCATCTCTTTCATCTCCTCTATGATGGCAAACTTCTCATCAATCTTCTCATTGATGGCTGAAAAATAGCTTTTTGAAATCTGAAATCTTTTCGACACAATCTGATTTCAATTGTTTGATCTCCTTTTCTTTCAGCCATGGGTGCCCAGATTGAACAACTTTGATACTAATTTGAAAGGAAGTAGATGCAGAATCTGTGAAATTTCTTGGCTGAATTTATAATTTCAGCAAAACAGAAATCGATAACAAGTAAACAAAGAAGAATAACACTCAAGAACACTTTTTATTGGATTATAAAAGACAAGATTCAGTTTGATCTTCAAGTGGAGAGGAGGATCCGGCTCTCCCAAATCTTTATGCTGCTAGAGCCAAAAGATCCCTAAAAACACTACAATTTCAGCAAAAATGGCCTCCCCTAACCCTAGCAAAATCTCTTACTTGAAGCAAACAATAAATAGCAAATACCCAAACAGCCCTCCACCAATTCCCTCCCAAAATTTTCCTATTTCCTTAATTATTTCCCCTTCAAATCAGCCCCCAAATCTTCCCTCTTTAATTAGGTAATATCTCCTAATTAATCCCCTCCAAATCAGCCCTCAAATATACATTCTTCAATTAGAAAATATTTCTTAATTAATCCCCTCTAAATCGGCCCCCAAATCAGCCTCCAAATATGCTATCATCAATTAGGAAAAATCTCCTAATTAAGAACTTAAGATACCTTGCTTCTCCTAGTAGTTGCCTAGACTATGACATTAGTAATCCAAATATCTCAGCATTCTTCTATCATGTACTCGATCAAGGTTATCTAATTATCAATGTTCACTTAATAAAATTTGGATTCTCCTTCAATAGTTCAAAGGAAAAGACTTTCATTTGTTATCAAATTTCAACTTATCAAATTCTTGACGTGGAATCTAATTGCTTTTTGAGTAATGCCATTTTGTTCCAAGTTATATCATCTAAAAAATTCATCCAAACTCTTAAGCTAACACATTTCAAAATGCCTAAAGATAACTTAGGATTCCATCCCTATCAGTCGTGAATTCTGCTAACAAGGTTAGACTTAATTGGAATTTAATTTGCTCTATGGATACACTTGAACACTAGTGAAAGTGTAGGTGTACTAAAATTTGGCTCAGACCTATCTCTTATTTATTCCACATATGGAAAAAGCTATCTACCATTGTCAATAAGTTCAAATTTTTCCAACACATTCCCTTTACTTTATGACCCTTTTGGGGAAAGAATCTTACGGAGCTAACTGGCTAACAAGCTCCCACCAACATTTTAATATAGGAAAATGCTCTTTCTAATACTATATTGATTAATTCTACTATGATGATTTCTCGTTGCCCCTGTTGTACTGCAATTTAATACTCAAGTTGCTTCTATTGGTTGCACGAATCTTTGCACTGTTAGGAGTTTTTTTTTTTTTTTTTTTAAATCTCGCACATGCCTATCATACTTCTATACCCTTCATCAATTATTAAATCTCGGCTCTCAATTTCCCCTCAAGTGAAATGCTAGCCTAGCAAGTACATAGTAAGATTATAATTGACGGGTTGTAAATTTTTTTCTAAGAAGTTTTGTGATGAAGCACAAATACATGCACACACAGAATACCAATCCACAAACCCATATGTCGTAGGAATAATCAAAGATCCCCCATCAGCGGACTTAAAACGAGCAGTCAAGAGTAGTTCGAAAAAGATTGCAATAAAGATGATGTAGACCCCATCTTAATGATACTTGTACTTCATAACACGCTGCATTGACGAGGGATTGAACTTTTTTAGGTTTTGGTCATGTACATGTTAAACATATTAAGCTAATGTAAATTATAGCCTATATTCTTTTAACAACAACAACAACCAGCATTTATCCCACCATGCGGGTGCCTATATTCTTTTAACAGGATTTTAATTTACCTTATTCAAAGCTATCATCCTTATAAGGTCTTAAATGTTTTTAAAACATTGGCAAATCCAATGACCTTATAAATTATAATAATTAGTTTGACATGAGTACTTAATGATGTAAGCCACTTTTGAATTCCAACAAAATTGCAGCTTGAATCTCGATCAAGTGGTTTCATTTTTCTTGTCCGCATGGTTGGCTATCCAGCCAAACGAGCAATTGGTGGCTAAATACATCGAGGCTGCATCAGGAAACTTTAAGGATTCCTAAACTGCAAATGCTCTAGAAAAGAAGGAATATTATGGATTTTCATCCATATAAGTTTTGCAACTTGGAGAATAAAACTATCAAGCATATTTACTTTGAATGTCCCTTCTCTTTCAACCTGATGAAACTCAACCTCCCATTTGGGATGAACTTATTTTCATCCCCACAGTTAGTTAATTGGAGTTGTGGAAAATTTCTGTTTTCTTGTAATACTCTGCTTGAGCTAAGTGGCAACAAAATGACAACATACTTCATTCACCATATAATCAAATTTCAATAGATGGGCATTCGCTAAAAAAAATTTTTGTTGACAAGTAAATGACAATCAGATAACGAATATTTTCCAGGAATTTAACAAAGCAACAATTGAAAATAAAATAAAATCACAAGTTGGCGACAAGCAAAATGCTGATGTTTTTAGAAAAATAGAAGAAATCTCTTTTAGTTCTGCACATTGTTGTGGCTCGTGCAGCAATACAGACTATTGGCTTATAAAAGTTAGCCAATAAGCCATTTACTCCCTCTCTCCAGCTACTGAAATAGTTACCCGAACAGATCATATGAAAAAACCGTACACAAAAGTTGGCATAATTTTGTATTGATTAATTACTAGGAGTAGTGAAAGAGTAATAAAGATGGCAAGACAACAATAAGCAATGATAATAGCAAAGATGATTTTGATATTTTTACCTCAGATTGCATAATTTCACAGGCGAGGCTAAGATCTGCAATAGATGGACCAAGATTTCCCAATAAGAATTTCGCATCTCCTTTAAGCCAAATGGATTCAATATTTGAGAGTGAAGATGTTAAAAGTTTCTCAGCTTCCATTGCAGATTGAGGATTCAACGTTCGTCCAAATACTGGTGCTAGGACAGTGTTCATAGCAAAGGTATCTGTTTTCCATGGAGTCATCAATTCAAGTGCATCAATTATTAACAGAGATATCATCAAGATGTACAAGCAAAACAATATAACAATAACATCAAGCTTTTATCTCACTACGTGGGGTCGACTATATGAATCTTTTTTCTCTATTCTGTCATGTTAAGAGTCAAATTCTCATTTAAATCTAATAAAAAAAGTCATTTATAATATTCTCTAACAATACTTACATTGTCAGGTCCCAAGTCCTGGATGAGAAAAGTTGAGGGTTGCGTTAGGTAGTCGACAACCTACGTAAAACTTGTCGAATAATGATGACAGGAATCATTTAATACATTGTACAAGCAAAACAATCATAAGTTTAAATTTTTTAACAGTTTAGAAAATGTTTAAACAATAAGAGAATAGGAAAGCTAAGCAAAATTTAAGACTCCTTGGAAATATCTTTCTATTCTTGTATCAATTTTTACTTTTAAACGAAGAAATTTTACAAACAGTCATTGAAAAGGTTACATGAGGAAAGAAAACTACCATCATAAAAAAGGAACGAAAAAAAGTAAATTGTGCACACCCAAACTTCTAAGAAAGTAAGTTTAAGTTAAGTTGACCTAGTTCAAGCTAAATCAAACGAGTTCAAATCATTATTCTATGTACTCGGTCTTAGACTCGCTGGTCCACAAGAAATCGTCTCAAGTAGATGACCATAACCCAATAACTTGTCCCAATCTGGGAGTAAAGCTGATACAGTCAATCCTAGTAGCTACTATCTATGAAGTCGGCCCTAGAGACTATTGAATAATGGTGGTCTCATATCTTGAAATAATTTCAGATATTTGTCCATAATCATCCCACCACCACTACTACTCCCCGATGGTTGATTTCTTGAATCTTGAATTAGCTGAGTCACAGTTGTCATCATTTGAGCCAATGCATCAGAATTAACAAGAACATTGGGTGTGTTCTTTCCACTTCTTCATCTTCTTCATATTCATTTTGGTTCATGTTGATCATAACATAAACATTTAAACTTATAATCATTTGTAATCATCTTAATGGCTCTTTCAGTATGATTCAGATCTTAATTGGGCTTTGATACCACTTTTGTCACGACCCGTCGGACAATAAAATTTCTCAAACAATACTACTTCATTTGTACTAAAGAGCCACTAAGCACGAGAAAAATTACCTGTTGTCATTTGCACGTCGCCTTCTGTAAATATGTTCTTCTCTTTCAGCCATTACGTCTTTAGGAACTTACCTGAAACATTTAAACTCGTGGGTTGAGTTTACTAAGTAAACTCAATGGGAATTATATAAATTAATCATTATAATTAATTAATTAAGATGTCTTTTATCCTTTTTTAACCTTATTTTTTTTCTTTCATTTCATTAACTTATACTTTTTTGGATATTTTCATTTTAATCATTTTGAAATAATTGTTATCTTTAATTTTTCATCTACATTTTCTTTTCCCATTTGATTTGCACAGGAGCACCGTCTCAAAGTACTCGAAGGTACAACCTTTTCCATTTGATTTCCTTTTCCCATTTCCATAGAAATTTCCTTTTCCTTTTTCGTGCACGAGTACGGCGCAGATTGAGGATTCAACGTTCGTCCAAATACTGGTGCTAGGACAGTGTTCATAGCAAAGGTATCTGTTTTCCATGGAGTCATCAATTCAAGTGCATCAATTATTAACAGAGATATCATCAAGATGTACAAGCAAAACAATATAATAATAACATCAAGCTTTTATCCCACTACGTGGGGTCGACTATATGAATCTTTTTTCTCTATTCTGTCATGTTAAGAGTCAAATTCTCATTTAAATCTAATAAAAAAAGTCATTTATAATATTCTCTAACAATATTTCCGTTGTCAGGTCCCAAGTCCTGGATGAGAAAAGTTGAGGGTTGCGTTAGGTAGTCGACAACCTACGTAAAACTTGTCGAATAATGATGACAGGAATCATTTAATACATTGTACAAGCAAAACAATCATAAGTTTAAATTTTTTAACAGTTTAGAAAATGTTTAAACAATAAGAGAATAGGAAAGCTAAGAAAAATTTAAGACTCCTTGGAAATATCTTTCTATTCTTGTATCAATTTTTACTTTTAAACGAAGAAATTTTACAAACAGTCATTGAAAAGGTTACATGAGGAAAGAAAACTACCATCATAAAAAAGGAACGAAAAAAAGTAAATTGTGCACACCCAAACTTCTAAGAAAGTAAGTTTAAGTTAAGTTGACCTAGTTCAAGCTAAATCAAACGAGTTCAAATCATTATTCTATGTACTCGGTCTTAGACTCGCTGGTCCACAAGAAATCGTCTCAAGTAGATGACCATAACTAACAAGTATTAATAATTCACTTACAATTGAGAATTTCTCAAACTCACAAAATCCCTTCTCTCCCAATTTCCTTTTTTTCGTTACAATCTCTTCCCTATCCTTCAAGAAATATACCGCTCACTTTAAACGAAGTAGGAGAAGAAATTTATAGGAAAATCCAAAATAAATTCAACAAACCTTTTTCCTTATTTTTTTCTCGATCGTTTCTTCCCTCTCAATGCAAATTATCCCAAAATAGCACTTCTTTAACTGTGAGAAAGAAAAGGAATGATCAATTCTTTTCATCGAAGAAGATTATTCGCTAAAATTGGAAAACGAAACTTACCTCGCTCTCCCACGAAGCCCTCGATCGTCCGCCCGTTTCTTTGTTCGCGCGAACGGCTCTGTTCCGCGACTCTTCTGTTCGTGGGTATTAAAAGGGTGAGCTGGCCAGTTCAGTTGAACCGGCCGGAAGAATCGGTCGTCACATCTTACTCAGAGAATTTTATTCTCTTTGAACTTTATTATTCTTTTCCTTACTTAATATTCTCGGTATATTAGGTGCGATTCATGAACAATTTTAGATTCAATATCCTAAAAGATGTGATAAGTATGGAGATTGCTAGGAACTATAAGAGTATTATATGAAAAAGCATAACATTAAATAGGTGGAGATGAAGTTGTTAACATGGAAACCCAAGAATTTGTGACAGTTCGTCAACTTATTGAATTCCAGAGTGCACTAGCGAGGATTTTGAAAACCACTCCTAGAGTGGAAATGCCTAAGTATCCCTAGTAAGGAAAAGGAAACTTTTTTGAGTTAGAGCTTTAGCATCTACTACAATAACTGATGAGACATTATCCTAAAAGTGAGGAATCAACTTCGAATCTTCATCAAGAGGGAAGAGAATAAAAAAGAGAAAGTCGCCGCTTACGAATGGCTTCTAAAGAGATTTTTTTGAGGCCAAGCCTGTATCAAAACTCAAAATTCCTCAATTGAATTTATACAAAAAGAATGACGGATTCCATTGACCATGATGTTTGTTTTGAGTTGGTTGTTTCACTTCTTGATATTAATAACACATTAAAAAGTAAGGTATTCTTCACCACTTTGAATGAAATACCTTTGAGTAAGGGTGTCAAAATAGGTTAACGTATCGGGTTTAGGTTCGACCTGAAATTAACTCCACTCAAATTCAATCAACCCGAACCTTACATGTACACCCATGACTGCTTCTGCAAGTACCATCTCACAGGTATCTTATAGTCACGTTCGGGTCATGCAAAAGGAGATTTTCTCTCCTCATGATAGTTCATTCGAGGGACTCGCACAAGAGCTCGGAAGGAGTTGGTCGCTGGAGTGCAACGGACCACCTCCAGCCATATCCTCAAGGAAGCCGCCCTCCTTGGCAAGGGAAACCATAGACATTCCTCTCTTGGTCAGACAAGTCTTTTATTTATCTCAGCCAAAGTTAAGTCTTTTATATATAACACATCTAAAGGCACATGCACTCGGCATAGCCAGTAGAACTCTATTGTACACCCATAGTACAACTCTTGTACTCCGTACAAATTCTATCAAAAGCAATTAAATATCATACACCAAGAAATATTTTACTATATTCATTCATCAAAATTATATCTACAATAACCAAGAGATCACAAACAATCACTAATCTATTAATAGCTCCTGACTATAAAAGAATTAAAGAATATACATAATGAAATCAAAAGAACCTGAGGATCTCAATCAGTCTCACTCCACACGGTTATAACCCCTTCCCTATCCTGAAATCATAAAACCACATATGAGCTTAATAAGCCCAGCAAAATCCAATTCTCACTAAGACATTGAATGCAAGATCTAAGAAATCAATATGCATGCTCATCTCAATCAATTGAATTAGTAGCATTGAATATAATCAATGATTAGTTATCCCTAGAATGATTCAATATGATTAATAACAAGTGAGAAACATCATGTTGAAATCCATAAATCAATGAAATATGCAAAAACATAAATACATAAAAAATCAATAAATCAGTACTATAGCACGAACATGCAGATGTCAATATTATCAAAGTTATCAGTCATATATATCTTATCAATTATTTATTATGAAATCAGTACATGTAATGCATACACATTTTTGTATCTATCTAACAGTGCTATCAATACTATAAATGTTATCAATGTATGAATTGCATCAATATAGGATTCAACAAGGCAGATCCAACTTTAAATAGTATTTTTTATTCCTTCATTTGTATTCATCATTATCATTATCATTATCATTATAGCATCTTTATTGTTTTATCATTTCAAGTGGCTTTTAGTAAATCATTAAGAGTTGTCATCTTTATCAATTACATGCTAGAACTGGGATAACATCATAAACCATCTTTAAATAAAAGCCTATCGGCCCACCCTCCTATGTAGGATATTATGTTTTATACACCAACTCAAATTAATTATAGTGTTAACAACCATCCTTTCTTTCTTACATAAAAATACTACATTTAATTCATATTAGTTGTATCAATCTCCCTTGCAAGCATGAAATACAATATGAAATGCTAAATATAAAATCATAAAAATTATATAATAATAGATGGCATCAAAAAATCATAACTTTCATTTTATCTGATAAAATTTAATAATATTATAGTAAAAATGC